TATAAATAAAAATACTAAAAGGTTTTTGGGAAAGCTATAAAAGAGAAAGTAAAGTACTTTATTAGGGGTTATATGTTTTATAAGATAAACTTATATAAGATTGAAAAGTACTAGATATAATTTCATTTCACTAATATAGCTTACTAATAAATTTATATATAAAGGTATATAATTATTATATTCTATATATCAGGCAAGCTCTCCCTATTTAATATAATATATTTCCTTACTAGTACTAGATATGTTTTACTAAATAAAGAAATAGAAATAAGAATAACTAGATCTAATATTTGCTTTTTATTAAAGACCTTTTTTTACTTCTTTAGCTTTTATTTAAATATTATATCTTAATTAGGCTATAAAAGCTTCTTTTCTATAATCTTATATGATTTTCTCTAATTAGTCTAAAAAAAGAAAAACTATTTGAGAATAGAAGATTTCCAGAAATAGCTTATAATAAAATCTTATTAATTAGTATCTTTTTAATACTTTTTATTAGGTTATTTCTCTAGCTATTACTAAAAAATACTAATAATATAATTGAATTATATAGATTTAGGCTTATTCTTTGGCTATATAAACCTATATTTTTTATAATTAACTAGAATATTAATATATATAGCCTATTTTCTATTAAAAATAATATTATAATCTCTAAGATTCAGAATAATTATAAATATATTAATGTTTTATTTATTAATTAGAAATAAGACTTTTATATATTTCTTAGTAAACTTAGCTAGCTTTTTATTAAAACTATATATAATATAAAATAAGAAAAGAGGTTATAATTCTATTTTTAGAAATTACTTTATAAGCTAAATAAGCTTTATATTAATAAAAGTATAACTATTAGCTCTAGTATTAATAAGAGAAAAAGACTTAATTCCTAATTTATTTATACTAATAATATAGGATATTATAAGAGTATTTCCTTTTATTAGATAAATCAAGTTAATTTCTATTAAATTCATATTATAAATCCCTAAAATAAAAACTTTTTTTAGAAGTATTTATTTTCCGGTTTTATATTAGAATTAGAATTCGAATTCTTTAAATATTTTATTAGAATAGAAACTAAATATTCTAATAAAATAGGAACTAAACCTGGTTTAATTCTAGAAAAAGATATCTTAGTTTCTTTACTATATTTAATCAGATAGTAATAAGTATAATAGCCGAACTCGTTATAGTTAAAATACTTAATAGTTAAGAGATTTTCGGTTTTTATAAGATATTACTTATATTTATAAGAAGATATCTATTTAATAAAAGTAGTTAATATAGGCTCCTTGAGTTTCTTTTTAGAAATATATTTCTTAGAAATATAAGAAAATATAGTACTAGAAGTAAACTTAGCTAGAATAGCTCCTATTTTCTTATATTTCTTAGTCTTTTTATATATAGCCTTAATTTACTAATTATTAGTAATATAGTATTAATAGAGGAATTATTATAATATATATATATATATATATATATATATTAACTTTTAGAGCTTTAGTAAAAGCTTTTTATTTAGTTTATATTTAATATCTTAAAAACTAATATTGCTTTTTATAAATAATTATAAGAAGAAAGTATAGAACTCCTAAAATATTTAATTAAAGTATATTTAAAGCTTACTAAAATTATAGAAAGTATTTTATATTTTATTAGAATATAATTTCTTTAGGTAGAAATATAATTCTAAGAACTAATAGTACTAATTCGGGCTATTTTTATTTATATAAGAATTAGTTAGGGCAAGAGTATTATTTATAAGTTTATTAGAAATATAAATAATTTTGAGATTCTTTAAGGAATATAAATTAGTATTTTTTTATAGCTTATTCTTAATCTGAACTAGCTAATTATTAAAGATAGTATAATCTCTAGTAAAGAGAGTTAGATCTGGAAACTTAATAATTCTAGTATTTCTAAAAGAAGTATAAAATATAGGAAATCCTAAATAGAAATAAATAGGAAATAGTTCGGAATTCTTTTAAGAGGGGTTTAAAATAGCCGGAATTACGGAAATAGTAAAAGCAAATAAAATAAAAGTAGTTAGAGCTATTATAAGCCGATTTACTATAGCTATATAATATTTAATATTATTTTCAAGTTTAATATTATAGAGTTTAGTATTCTTAAAAGGCCCTTAGTATTTTTATAACTTGTTTTATATAAAATAGACTTTTTGAGATTTTCCTAATAACTAGTAATAATTAAATTAATATCTGAAAGCAAGTAATTAGCTTCCTTAGCCCATTTATATAATTCTTTAATAGTAATAAACTAATTAGTATATAGGAGCTTTTTAATAAAAGAAGAAGCCTCTTTCTTTATAAATTCGTTTAAAAAACCTCTAAAAATATTAATAGGGCATTCGGTTTAGAAAGGGCTACTAATGAGATAACCTAAACTAATAAAAGCCTTAAAAGAAGTTAATATTATTCCGGATTATATAATATTCTAAGAAATTAACTTATTATATTTTTCCTTTACTATATTCTCTCTAATAGTCTTATTACCGTCATATATATAGGGCCTATGAAATTATAGGATAGGGCTTAAGAGTAGTAGTCAGGTTACTAGCCTATAGATATCTATTACTTTAGGACCTGGTTAAAAAGTAGCCTTTATTCGAGGTTCTTCGATTTTTAGGTTTTCGGGAGAATTTCTAATATATTATTAGTATATATTTATAAAAGTATAAATACCTAATTCCTCTAAAGGTTCTGAAGCTTTTTGCTTTTATTATTCTGGAATCTATTATTTATATTTCTGAGATTCTATTATCTTGGCGGCGCCTATATTTCTGAATTAGTTTATTTGAAATCCTTTATAGGATTAAAGGAAGTAAGCTTTAAATACTATTATAGGTATAGTATTTAGTATTACGAAACCGGGCTCTGGGCTTGGAAAGCAGGTAGAGTGGCTCTTAATCCGAGGATTCTAAACTAAGGAAGGAAGCTCGTATGTACAGGAGCTTTGGTGTTCTAAATACTAGCCAGCCGCATGCGTCATCGCGTGATCACGTGACGCTAAATTTACCAGTGAAGCGGCAGAGCGTAACATTTAGGGCTTGGAAAGCAAGGTAGAAGATCTCTTATAAAGACGATTCAAAGCTAAGGAAGGGAAAACTAGAATATAGGAGGCTGTAAGGGAGTATATATACCCTATAGTACACTAGTCCCGAAGGGGCTAGCCTTCTAAATATCTCTAGTATATTCCAAGTATACTTCCCTAGCGAGGCGGCCGCGTCACGTGTGTCTAGGAGGCATCTGGCATCTGGGAATCGTGATACTTGTCTCGGTATTTCTTTATAAACTGGAATATTGCAAAGGGATTATATTTCTTATAATAAATCGAGTTGCTTAGTTTAATAAAGCAATCTTTAGTAAAATTCACATTATATTGAGATATAGTAACTTGAGTAAGGCTACGGGAAAGAAGGTCTGGGAACTATTTATAAAGATTGCAAATATAGCTTAAGGATTACCATATATTAATACTAACGAGTTCAAGTATTTAGTTAATTGCAAGCTTAATAGCAGGCTAGTAAGGGATTTCTATGGCATATTTACTATTCCCTTGGCTAATAATTGGCTCCAGATCAAGAATGTTATGGCAATAGCACATGCTTTGGCTAAGAAGAAGAAGAGCCGAGTATATTTCTCTCACATTCAAAGGACTATTACCGCAAGCAAGAAGTTTATTACTGAGTTTAATAGCGGGATCGAAGTGAGTCAGTTATACCTTTAGCCTCAGTCATGGGGGAGCAGGATTATAGTAAGAGGATATTAATTTATCAGGACTTGTTAATATGGGATCTTGTTTTGACATTGTTTCGCATATGATTTGGTTACATAGTCTCAAATACAACTCCATGATTTTCGAGTATATGATTGACGTGAGATGGAGGGCCCAATATCTACACGCCTGTGGGAACTCTGCTTGCAATAGAACAACATGCTGGCCTAATCAGGGCTGTGGAGGTCCATCGGGGGTGTTGAATGTGTAGAATCCTTACCCTCCAGTGCTCGTTCCGCCGATCAAGTCAAAGAGTTCGCAAGGCTTTGCATAGGGCTGTGTTGAACTAGCTAGCTTGGCTAGCATCCATTCCTTCCACTCCAGGTTCAATCACTAATTCAGTTCGTCCGATTATTGGGTATTACTTACGTACGAGCACACCAATCGTTTATTAGTATCGCCATTCGATTACGTTCCTTAAACGTACGTTCAGGAATCAGATTGGTAAATCGTTCCCACCACCAAGTAAGTGCGGGGTAAATCACATGGTGGGCTGGGAATCAGGAATATAGCTAGGGAACCCATTCCCTCTGTTTTTTATGGAATCACTCTCCTGTATCTAGTCAAAACTAGTCATTCTACAGATTGTCAATCTCCAATATATCGATTTTCCACCGATAAATCGATCCCAGTTCAATAGGCTGGCCGTCCTTCTTGCGTTCTGCATTTACCTTTGCCATTAACGCCTTGATAATGAGAAGCGTAGAAAGCCCCCGGACTCCCCCGCCGTCTGATTCCGCAGATTAGCAGATGGAACTCCAGAAGCATGGACGACATACCAAGAGATAGCTAGGGCTGTTCATTGAATCACGAATACGAATATATTCATGATTTTATTCATATTCATGATGAATCTGGGGCTATAATTTTGAATATGAACCAAGAGGCCCGATTCATGAATAACACGCTATTTTTAGTAGTGTTTTAGTGCCATAGATCTTGTCTTATATGCTAATTTCCGACCGGAATTTGGACCAAAATCACCACCTCTTATGAAACAACCAATAAGAGCCTGTATTTCTGCCATATGTTGTTTAAAGGCGGTGAACGATTTAAATTGCATTTTCGAGCGTTTCAGAGCGATTTGACAAAAGAGATCACGTGTAGCCTCCAACAGCAGTATGCCCACCAGCCTACGTACGATTTATAAGGTATTCGGTTTATTGGCAACAGTGGCAACGATTCGGGGCTAAATCACGTAAATATTAGCATGTAGTCCTTCCAGAAATGAAGCTATTCAGACGTACCCCGTAGACTGCAGTGTGTTCGGCTTGTTCTTTCTCTGCAAGCAACCTCTTCTTCTTGTCGATCTGATCGTAATAGCTCTTCATCAACCTCACCATTCTTATAGTATCTACGTCTAAAGCCATACGATGAATGCCAAGAGTATCTCGTCCTTCTGAAAATAGGCGCTCTACGTCGACCTCTGCAGAGGGTATTGCCAACAGATCTCGGGCCGCAACTGCCACTTGTTTATATTGGAATTCGTTCGCTTTCCACCATTGTAGACACCAATCTTCACAGGGCTCGTACGACGTAATAACCAGGTCGTTGAAATATCGCTCGAAGTCGCTTTTATGTTGTTGTATGCTTGCAGTTGCGCTCAATTAGCTCTTGCGCGAGCGCTCAAGGAGGTTCCATTCGTGGATCGATACTCTGTGAGGTCTTTCGAAGGTGACAGGTCGTAACTGGCTTGCGGGGGTACTTGATTGGGCAGGGTATTGGCGTTTGAAGTAGGCTTTGACTCGTTCGATAACTTCGTCAGCTTGATCGCCGTATTGCTCTTTAATCAAGGTGAGTTTAATTCGTGGATCAAGGACGTGAGCGGCGTAGTAGATGTCATTCTCGAGCGTTAGATTCCCCCATTTGGTAAGTGTTTCTTTGGCAGCTTCGAACCCACCTTTGAGATCTGGTCCGATATCAATATAGGGCTCTTCGCCGCTCGAGACAGCTTCCAACAGATCTTCCAGTCCCCACATGATACCAAGATATTGAGGTAGAGATGGCACCTCATTCGAGACAGTTAAAGTATGGTTATACAAAAGAGCGCGCAGCATTGAAATCCGTCCAACTCGATAAGCGATGACGGGCGCAATTTTAACGCTCGCATTACAAAAATTCTCATAATTCTGTATTATATTCTATTATTATAAAAATTTCGCCAAAGTTAGATCTGCTTCTTTTCTATTACATAAAGCACTTTTGAAGAGTTTCGGGCGTTCCATTGAGATTTGGTGTAATTTTCTGAACGTAGCGATTTTGGTGTTCCTCGCATTTTGGCAGATGGGCGGTTTTCAATGCCGCGCGCTTTCGTAGAAGGGTTACATACAACGCTCGACCTGCTCACAAATCACCCATTCAGCTTCCGTCGGAATAAGGTGCTTGCAAGCAGGATGCCTCCTTCCGAATTGGGCGATTTGGACTCGATATTTACGTGCCACCTGCATCATCAAATAGAGGGAGTTCCATCGAGTATCAACATCTAATGGAATAAAGACGTTACAGAGCTCTTTCCACCATCCTCGCCGCTCATCACTCCCCATCACCCATAAGACGAATGTTCGTATTTTCATATAGATACTGAGCGCGGCGCAATCCTCGGAGAAACCTTTGCCATTATCGATTGCCTTTCGTACAATTGCTTGAGCTTCTTCTCTTGTACCCGACTTAGGTGATTAAAAACTGCAATTGCAACCAAGGAGCAAATATGTACTAGACACCGAATACGGCTAGCTCGACCTTGAAAGAGACAGCGTGAAAGACCAAGATTTGATTGAGGGTTATCGTCGTAGTTATTGGCTAAAAGCTTTTGATGGAAGTAGTCACAGAAGGTGTCGTTATTAGACGCATTATCACCACAAACTGCAATGATTTTGTGAGCAATCTTTAGGCCAATATGGGTGGTAGTTTTCTTAATTGGCCCTTTATCGCTTTCGATCGTCTCAACTTCGTTGATATCGTCCCCGAAAGAGGCGTATAAAACCTCTGCCATTCCTTCTCCCGACTTGCCGTAAATAGCTTCAGTATATTCTACATTTACAGAGTAACGTTGCCAGTCAGGACCGATCCAATAACCAACTCCTCCAATGATATGCTTGTGATTTTTTGATCCCCATCCGTCAAAGGATATAGCGATCGATTGGCAGGTTTTATCGAGTAGCTCGGCTTGCTCTTTGCGAATGGCGTTAAATCGAGTCTCGCCGTATCGTCGAAAGGTGTTGCGATCGTTGAAGACACTAACTTTGCCCATAGACTTATATAAACCGTGGAAAGCAGAATGATTGCAGAGAGAGAAGGACTGGTTGGTTTGGACGATAAATCGTAGGACTGCATCTTCTGGAGATAGCTCTTCTTCCGCCTGTTATAAGAATGGCGTAATTACTCCTTGTTGAGATATATTCCCGAGATTTTTTGGAGTACGACCAGCTGTATGATCCGCCTTAGTAAACCTGTGATCTTTCTTGAGATGGCGAATTAAATTCGACGTATTTCCATGTCTTCCAGAATCAGTAGATAAGAAACCGTCACAGTATCTACTCGTCCATTCTCGATCTTGGTACGAAGGTTTACCCTTAACAGAGAACTTGATCCAGGCCGCATTAATATACTCAATGTCGTAATACGGTAAAACCCAAGTACGTTCATCTAGAGCTTGTCGTACTCTTGCCCCTTGATCTTGTGCCTTCCTTAACGTGACAGTTGTGGGTATAGCAAGTCTATGACGCTGTCGGCCAGCTGACGGTGACTCTGAATCAATATTCTCTTCACCTCTATCTCTCATTTGCATATCTTCGTCTGTAGCAGGGACTGCGATTTCGACATTTCGTAGGGTTGAGGGGGGTTCGTGGAATAGCTCGACTCGTAGCAGAAGGGCTTGGGTTGCGAAAGGGCTCTTCGATTCGGGCATAATCGAGGACAGAGGATTGGCGGAGACCTAGTCTTGATGAAGGACTCGCAGGATCTCGTCGAATTGGCGTTGAAGCAAAGCGTGATTGTCTTGTTCTGTTGATATGAGGTTGAACCGGTCGCATATTGAGGTTTTCGGTGCTTTCGTGTAAGTGAAGGATACAATGCAGCCATAAAAGTGGAAAACTCGTCACTGAACAACAAGTTGATAGAAAATCTTGAACATAAGATGGTTGAAAAGCTAAACCTTGAGAGAATAATATTATACCTGCATTTAATTTTAAAGTGTTATTGGTTATGTTATATTCCGAGGTCATAAGCTGTGGAAATTAGAGTAAGACATAACGGCTTTTACTGCCGGGCGCTCGACCAATTAAACCCTAGTTTTAGCGTGATTCATGAATATATTCATGAATTATTCATGAATCAAGGGGCTCAATGCGAATATATTCATGAGTCAATAAAAAGGTTATGAAATGAATAATGAATATAAGTTTGTTGATTCATTTATTCATTGAACAGACCTAGAGATAGCACGCAAAGTCCATTGTGATTGAGAGGGTTGTCTCGGGGCGGGACTGTTGACTGCATCTGCGCCATTCCGCGACCACGGCGAACGGAGCCCCTAGTCGTGTTCGAGACGAAACTGGGTTATGAAATGTTCGATGGAGTGATAGTGAATCTTGTTCATAGTGCGAGGCTGTGCAATGTGGGCTGAACGCGGCGTTAACCGTCATCACGACGAGCATCGCGCTTAGATTGAAAAAGTAACTCTGTCGCGGCTGAGAATGGATCGCATATTAACCAATCAGAATACACAATACAAGATCATACAAGGGAGGCTCGAAGAAATTGGGGGATTCAACTGGGGAGTTGTCGAGGGATTGCAGATTGCCACCAGGTTCCTTCATGCAGGGATGCCTATGCAAGGCGGGGTACGTAGCTGCTGTCGTCAGGGCGGGTTGCCCGGAGGTACCCGCTCCCACCTAACGCTAGAATGTGTGTCTGGCAGAAACGGACCAGGCACAAGGTACCAGCGGATCTTGACCATAGCAATTCACCGTTGCCCGTTGTGGGGCTGCCTTCAGAATTGCGTATCCTCGTCCCTCGGACATATATTGCGATGGCGAGCGGAATAACTTGGCGACCTTGGATATCCATTCCGCTACCGAGGCTACCACAGCGCCCGTGGCCCGTGGCCCGTGCTCTTCGTAGGAGAAAAACAAACTGCCTACCCTCTCCCAAAAGAATATGCTACCAGAAGACATCGAGAAGCACCTTTCTAAACATATCAGAGGGGGAAAATCGGCTCGGAAGAATAATAATCGGTAGGCAGACTGCCTAACGCTCTGCAGTAGAAATAATGCGGCGTCAACTTGGAGACGGCAGCCTTTGCGAATATAACCGAGATCCAAGGTCAACGCACGCCCAAGGTCAATGCACGCTCAAGTTTAGCCGAATACTCGATATTAAATACTTAATTATTAAATAATTACTAATTAGAAAAATAAATTTCTTTAAGTTCTGCAAAGAGAAGAAGCCAAAGATTTAATATATAATTTTTCTTAATTAATCTTCAATTTTTAATAACCTTAAACTTAGCTTTTATTAAAATATTAAAAAACTTAATAATTTTTATTTAATATTTAATAATTATATCTGTATAAGTTCTTTAAAGTTAATATTAGTAAGAATGCTTTATTATATATAGAAGTATAAGTATATAATATAAAAGGTTTATATTATTATATATTACTTATAAAATTTTACTTTTAACTTTAATTTTTAAATAAAATATTAAAAATTCTTAAAAGAAGCTTAAATTAAGAAATAACTAAAAAATTATATAATAAAAGCTTTCTTATATAAAACTTACTCAAAATGGTTATATTTCTTATACTAAATACTTATATAATTTGTAATTTATTATAATATAATTTAATAATATAAATAATTAATTTCTGCTTTTAAATATTATTATATATTAATTTGTATTTAATATATTCTTTATTTTATATTCTTTACCTTCTATAGTATTATAATATTATAAGAAAAAATAATTAAAAATACTTTTATTTATCTTTAATTTAATTATTTTTAATAAAAAAGATTATGTTTTTAAATAAAATATAAAATATATTTTATTTATTTATTAAAGTAAATATTTCTTTTATATAATTTAAAAGTATAATATATTTAAACGTTTTTATTAAAACTTTTAATAAATAATACTATTCTTTTATTAATAATAATATTTTTAAAAAAACTTAAAACTTTAAATAAATTATATTATTATATTAATATTTTACTTAAAATTTTAATTGGAACTATTCTTTATAATATATTACTAATATATAATTAATTATATTTATTACTTTCTTTTCTTTTATATAATTATTTTATAAATATTATATATTATTAATTTTCTATTTTTGGCTTTAATATAAAAGAAGCCTTTTATATAAAATTTAATTTTTTTATATTATAATTATTATCGAAAAATAGTATACTAGTATTATAGAAATTTTAAAGTTAATTAGGTTATTAGTTCCTTATTTATTAAAGTTCAAAATTCGGGAGTTTTGGTGTAAAATGACCGTGCGTTGACTCTGGTCGTGCGTTGACCTTGGATCTCGGTTACGCCACGAGCGATGAATGTGGAAACTCACGCTGCAAGTACCTACAAGGTCCTGAGGGGAGAACTAAAGATCATACCGTCATTCATCTTGAATTTCACGAAGATATAATTGTTTCGTTGATTTAATAATAATGATCAAAAAGGAGGTGTTGGAAAAACACGCGTTTCGCGGTTTAACGAGTGACCCTGATCTCCTCACTAGTCAATGGCTCATTAACCCTGCATCTCTGCATCTCATGCTCGCTATGGCATCGAAAGTTATTGAAATAACAACTTTTACAAAGTTCGGAGTCCTTGTCGAGATCGTCACAAATGCTGCAGTTATAGAAGGATGTATTTCTGACCTCCCTGTTGCAGATCATGCAGACCAGACCGATAACCAAGGAGTAATGGAGATCTGAACTGTCTGTTTTTATGTTCTTTCCGTCTTTATGCAAACGTTCCATGAGCTTTTTCACCGTCTCGCCTTGGCCGCTACGCGCTGCCCAATCAATTAGATCTTGTCCACTTTTGTCTCTGACATAGATGTCAGCGTTGTTTTCCAGAAGTAAAGTCACGATCTTATCAAATCCACCCTCCAAAGCGTAGGATAGGGGTGTGCGGCCTGTATTATCACTCGAGTCGATTTCCGCTCCCCTCTTCAGGAGCGTCTCCGCAACTGTAGTGTATCCTCCCCCGGATGCCCATGACAGCGGCGTCCGAAGATTATTGTCCCTGGAGTCGAGGTCAACGCCATGGTCAAGAAGCCTCTCCACCATGCTTTCACTACCCGCCCCTCTAGACCAATCAATCGACAAAACAGCATCATTTTCGGTTGGGTTCAACCCATAGCGCCAGGCAAGCCACGCTTCGGATTTGCCCCTTTTGCTTCCTATCCATGATAAAGGCGTCCGGCCACTTTTATCCTTTGCATCTGTGTTTTCTTGGCGCTGGAGCACAATTTTAAAGATCTCTTCTTCTCCACCTTCAGCAGCATAGGAGAGGAGGGTACGGCCACTGTCATCCTCGCAGTCGAGGTTTGCACCGCAATTGAGTAAAAGCTTCATCACTGCAAGATTACCGCTCCCCACAGCCCAAGAGAGCGGTGTACGACCATTGTTGTCCGCAAGGCTCCAGTTAACACCTTTTTGCAGTAGTATCTTTACAGCTTCGATATTTCCTACCCCTGCAGCCCACGATAATGCCGTGCGTCCTGTTTTGTCTTGCATGTTCAAAGTTTCAAGTGAAACTTTCGAAAGTGCGTTCAGCACCCGCACTCCTGCTGAGTTGCTGGCGACTGCCCAAGATAAAGGTGTGCGGCCACTGCTATCATGACAACTAGGATCTGCCCCGTGTTCCAGAAGGGTTATCATCATACATTCATGGCCACCCTCGGCGGCAAACGATAACGGTGTGCGGTCGTCCTTGTCCAGAGAGTCGATAGCCATCCTATTTGCAAGAAGTCTTTCCACTACCTTCCCAGTCTCGCCACCTCTACCGTGCGAAAGGATTCCCAACATGTCATAATCTTCAGTTCGCATAACTGCACGCAGGGCTGTCTCACTTCCTTCAAATGCTACCCATATCGGAAGTACTGGGCTTCGAGTGCCGCTCAATCTAACCCTCATGCCATTCCTGCAGATGAGCTTGACGACTATTCTTTCTCTCTTTTGAGCCAACCACGATAATGGTGTACGACCATTACTGTCCTGCCAATTCGGATTGGCAGCCTTCTTCAGTAATGCCTTTACCACTTTGAAGTGTCCTCCAGCAGCAGCCCAGGATAAAGAGTTGAGGCCATCTTTATCAGATGAAAGTGGATCAGCTCCATTTTTCAATAGAAAGTTCACTACTTCTGTGTGTCCTCGGCCAGCTGCCCAAATTAGTGGCGTACGCTCGTGGTTATCCCTGATGTGTGGATCGGCTCCCTTTGCGAACAGAATTTCAATCATTCCGGTGTGCCCTGCTTTGGCTGCCCAGATAATTGCAGTTTTTCCTTCGGAATCTGCAGAATTCAGTCCTGCGCCGCTCTTGAGTAATAAGTTCAATGCATCCTCATGCCCATTAGCCGCGGCCCAGATAAGAGGCGTCGAGTTACTGTTGTCTCTGTGATCAACCCCTCCTGGGCAGTTCAAAAGTATCCTCAGTATTTTGGTGTAACCTCCAGCAGCAGCCCATGATAGGGGAGACTGTCCCAGAGTATCTTTCTGATCTGGATCTGCCCCATGCTCCAGTAAGAGTCTCAATATACTCTTTTCCTCCCCTATGACTGCCCAATGGAGAGGAGTTAGACCACGTTTGTCAATGGAGCATACCCGAGCGCGTTTCATGATCAAAACTTTGACTGCCTCTTTGTGCCCTCCCTGGGCTGCCCATGACAGCGGCGTGCGATTATCTCCATCCCTGGAATCAACCTTTGCCTCACGTGAAAGGAGAGCCTCAAGTATTTTTGTGAGACCTTTCCCTGCAGCCAGTGACAAGGGAGTGCGGTTAGTGCCATCTTTGCATTCTACCTTGGCCCCATTTCCAAGCAAAATCATGCTCATTTTCCTTTCACCCCGTTCAGTAGTCCATACTAAAGGTTCGTAGGAGGTTCCTTCCGGGGGCTTGAAATCAAACACAATATTGACGAACTTGGTATCTGTAGAGGGCACAGGCTCCATAACTGACTGCTCGCAGCCACTGTCGTTGGCGTGTCTGGCTAGAAGCTTATATACCTCATTGTCCTCCCTATTAGAGATAACTCTCAGAGGTGTGAGTCCTTCTCGATCCTTCACATACACATCGGCTCCTTGCTGAAGCAGCAGTTGAATCACCTTCATGTTCGGGGGCGCCGCATGCGCAGCCCAGTGTAACGCTGTCCAACCCACGTCATTTTCAGCATTGATCTCAGCACCGAATTTCAGTAATACCCGAATAAGAGCAATATTTGAGCTCTCTGCTGCGCGCATCAGAGGAGTTCGGTGAGTTCCAACTACAATTCCCGGCGCTGCTTGAATCAGTTCCTGAACTGTTTTGCCCGAGTAGTCGTCTTTCCCATCCACCTTGACATAAAGTATGAACCGTGGTCCACGAACCACGTAGTAATAGTTCACTTGCGCTGAACTTTGAAGTAAGAGATGGACAATTGCACATGCTTCCCTGCCTGAGACCTTGGCGTCGTTAATTTCGTCCGGGCTGCTTGCGTTATCCATTGCCCTCATAGTCCAGTCAATGGCCCGGTTTAACGGGGTACCGCCCCCAACTTCGCGTTTTTCAATGTTTGCCTTTCTCTCCACAAGCAGCTCAACGGCCTTCCGGTGGCCTTCCCCAGCTGCCCAGTGTAGCGCGCTCGCTCCGCAAGAATCCACCGCATTGATATCATTACTTGAGTCTTCCAAGAGGTTCCGCATGATTTGGTGGAGGCCGAAGTATGACGCTATGTGCAGTCTAGAGAGGGAGAAGATAAAAGAATCGATTTTAGGAGGTCGAAGTCTGCTGCTGAGACTTTTGCAGAAGTAGCCTTGGCTGCAGTAGCGTTTTGTGAGCCCCATGGAAAGAAACTTCGTCCCCAACTTTACGGTATCGTCGGGCTGACCAGCTTTTCGCAAGTGATGGCCCCAGAAGTCAGACGCGTACTTCAATAGAGGGCATTTGTCAGATTCAAGGTCGGGAGAGTTCACTTCCTGCGCCATGGCTTGCGATTGCGATATCACCGACGGGTGCATGAGATACCTGAGACATGCCCGTGCAAGTCTATTTTGTGCCTCCTGGAAAAGACGGCCTCTCCATTCTTTCGAGTTCGGTGTGTTAAGATAGTCCCGGAGTGATTGGTGAAATAAACGAACATCTGTGTCTGTCTCATCAATCACTACTAAGCCAAGACAGACACTTTGAAAGGTGTTTTGGTTCACCAGGTCTCCAGGATCCAAGTGTTCGCCAGATGTATCATCTGAATCCAGCTCTGCTGGCTCTTTGTCCATTGCCAGAGCATAACGAAGCTCTTTGACGGCTAAAGGCCGCTCAGACAGCGAAACCCAGGTAAGGATCTGGCCCCCTAGATGCCCTCGTGGCGCTGAGCGAACTCTTTTAATCATATCAGAAAAGGTGCCTTCAATTTTTTCGGGAAGCGTTCCCAGACGTCGCTGTAGATCATTTTCACTCAAACTAGCTTGCACGAATTTAATCAGGCTATCCGCGAAGAGGAAATTGCCTGAGGAGCGCTCCAAGATTTTCTCCGTGATATCATCTTCAATGCCCTCCCAGCCTATGTCATAGCTGCGAATGCTGTGCCGGATATGGCTTTCTATGTCTTTGTTATGGGCTGTTATGGCGAGATTCTGAGCCGATGGGAATTCCGCTAGGACGATAGATTTGACGTGCGTCCGACCAGTTATGAAAAGACGGAAGTTGGAAAGAGCTCCCGCCAAGGACTTCAGCAATCGCGTTCTCCGCTCAGCGTTCAGCTCATCCAAACCGTCAATAAAAATGTATTTCTGGTCAAACTTCTTGCCAACGAAATCAAAAACGTCCTTTGGGGTCCATGGACCCGTGCAAACCTCTTCAATTTTAGATAGGGGAAGACGAAGTTGAAGGGTGAGCTGTGCCGCTAATGTGGCCATGATTCCGTCGGACATGTGATCCGCGTCGTCATATTTGCAGTAAACATAACCCAACCCTATTTTTGGACTACTGCTTCTCGTTTCGATTTTCAAGGACTCAAGGACTACAGACCTGTATGCCGCGTTAGGAAGTAATTAGCGTCTACAAGATATCATATTTCCTGCCAAATTACGTACATCATGCAAGATTTACCCACGCCTGGCTCCCCAGTACAGCACAAAACCGGCTTTTCGGCGTCTGAAGCACGCCAGTTCTGAAATATTTTATCTTCAAACAACCATTTCCAGGTGTCATCCCGTGTTTCCTCGAGATGATATTGGTGTCGTTTTGCAGAAGCAGTAGGATCTACCCTCAGGAACCTCTTCAACTGCTGCTCTATATGCCACTTAGCCAGGTTGCAGAAATTCTTTCTCAAGCAGATTGACCTTTTTCGACGCTATATAAATCCTTCACTCCTCGGACGTCTTCTTGTACTGCACCTTGTTGTTAGCATTCAGTTTCATGCATCCCTGGAACACTGACATTCTTTCAAGATTGGCTCCAGAGCATCGACCAGCTTTCGTTCGCTCATAACCAATATTGGAGACACAAATCCAAGAAGCTCTCTTGCACAAGCGGATGCCGCCAGTGCCGCATAGTCTTGCCAAAAATCATTCTTGTGCGAATCCGCGTAGTCACAGATTCCACGGATGACCAGGCAGGGTAACTTGTTCATGATACCGGCCGCCTCCATTTCAATGCACTTGGCGCCGTACTTCTCCATAAGCTCGTCTCGTAGAAGTGGGTTCCTCATCAACTTGCTGCCAGAAGCAATGATACCGTAGTGAATAATTGGATCTACACATGAACGGTACCCGCTTCGACGCAGGTCAACTTGATTCTTGTCGCAATCCCTGCATGTTCTCCCTTCGCTCTTACACGGATAATTTGGGGGAAAGAGATGGTCCTTCTCTACTCCGGGATATCGGTAACGAGATGGATTCTTGACCATCTTCTTTTGCGCCTGTGCCAAAAGTTGGGGAATCTTGCTCTTCCCCATTTGATCATTTATCTCAAAACTTGATGTGGCTGCTGCAAGGGCGTCTGGTGGCTTATTCAATGAACCCTTTAGTTGAAAGGGCCTATCCGCATATTCCGTGCCGAAGTCGAACTGTACCACGCCTCCAAGGTTACCGGAAGGGATACTGATCACGACATCACCCAGCCTGATATCGTTCTCCTCACTAGGGATTCCGGCTCCAATCCCGACCAAAAGACAAAGACGGATTGACGGGAAACTTCGTGCAATGTTGTGGGCAACTCCAGCGGATGATATCTCTCCATAGGATCCTTTGGGGAGAGTTGCGATAACAATTTTGTGCCTGTCCATGCGGCCAAAATAATATGAATTATCATCTTCCGGCACATAGAGAGGTTCATATTCCTCGTCCAGCAGTAGGACAGCTGGAATCGCTTCTTTTGGAAGGGCGCAGATCCACGCAATGGTGAACTCCCCGGCCCGGAGACTCTTCTTTTTTCCTTTGTCTGAGATTGTTTCTCCCTTTGTATTGTGGATCGAGTCGTCTCTACCGGCTAATGACACGCTGATCTAGTATTGCTGACATTAGTACAAAAACAACACAATTTTGTGACGGGAAGAGTGGGGATCGCTCTCACAGTTGTTTTCTCTCTATGCTTCTTCCCAGAAGGTTTCGTGAAGTCCCTGTTTTGATCGCTCTCATCTAAATTTGAGGCATCCGAAGTGTCATTCAGACCACTGTCACCACCCAGCCTTACTCGGGAACTCTGCAGTTGTTCATCATCCGAGTCTTCGCGATCTCGTTTCATGATGGGAGCCGGAAAAGTTTCCGCGAGTCAATGCAGTTGAAACAGGAATTGGATATGCCTTGGACAGTGGACTTCAGGGTGTTCGGCAGTCATTCTGAAGCTTCGAATTTGAGTTGTTAACAAAGCGAGGAAAGAGTAAACTCGATCCACAACTCGCTACTATAGTGAGAATCAGCAACTTGCGGGCAAGGCTCTGCTAAATAGTTTGCGACCCAATCAAGGGCCCCAAATTGAAGCCATCGGGTGTGACTGGTGTCAAACTGTGCTCAGCCCCCTTGTTATGCCCCCCGTCGAAATGAGATGTCTTTACCCATTTCCCTCCCACGTGCTTATAAATCATTGTACATAGCTATATTCTGGGGTTATTAGCGTAGCATTTAGGGAGGGGTGCCTCCCCTCTATACAGATCAAGACACAAACTTCCGACATGTTAAAACTTGACACTGGATGTGTTTATATCAATTACAGTTATTAATACAAGGAGTCGTGGTATTCAATATTAGAATAATATGTCCTTAAAATCGTAATGTTATTAGTGTTCGAGGGTTTGGGGGATTTGATGTCTTTTGCCAATCAGGACTTAAGCACTGTATATTCCTCTTACTGTAGTTGTTATGATTCTTTACTGTAATAGTTTTATATAATGATTGGTAAGGGCTGCGAGTGTGCGGAAGTGCCGGAGCAGCTTCAAAACGCATGCAAGTTGCTGCTCTAGGAAGTCGTCTCGACCCATCTCCGCATGGTGGCTTGGTTTGCGCCCTACTACTGTCCAATTACTCACGACAAAAACAGAATGAAGAAATCGCCGAGTATCGGGCCGCGTATCGGGCGGTGGCTGTGGGTTCAATGTGTCAATACTTTGCATGCAAGACGATTGCTTTTATCTATGATTGGAGATTTGACGTGATACAAATGCGCACTTCGTCACGCTGACGCCTTCTCGAGGGAGCTCGTGCAGTTAACAGGAAAGAAGGTGAAATAGATGCCTTGAGTCTCCGGGAATTCTCCGAGGCTGAATTCATTTTCCCATTGTATCTCTGATGACGGTTACGGTTGCAGTGGGGACCGACTTTTAAAGCAGAATATTGGACTTCTGATCGATAGACTCAAAATTTCTGGATTTTCCTTGTATTTTGTGCCTTTCACTTTACAAGCTCGAGCAGGAAGCACCAAGAACAACCGATCTACCCTATTGCACCATGAAAGCGACGGAAAATGAGCCTCTCGAGGTGGACGTGACAGCGAGGCTGGGCCAAACCCGCACTGGGGGAAGTGCGCTTCCCAGCACTATCGATATCCTATCGCCGAGGAAGAACAATCCGAACCATACCGTGACAGCAGATACTGCAAAGGCCACCAGCGCCCCACATTCTGTGGGCTCTATCAGTCAAATAAAGGAAATCTATCGATCCCCAGATGATAAGGATGACACCTTTACCTGGCTTCCTGATTGCCCCCCGGAAATTGTAGAAGCCGCAGAGAATGATGAAAGTGCCAAGTTTGCCATTATTCTGCGGCACATAAAGAGTAATGACTCGGATAAGAAGCTGGAGGCTCATTCAATTGTCATCCAGAGTCCCTGGCTCCAAAGGGCTCTTGCGCAGCACGTTCTTTCGGACTACCCTGGCGTCACTTGCGAAATGAAGAGGTTGATATTCGAGGCGCCTTTTAAACCATTGATTCATCGATGGCAGCAATTACTGAATCTCAACCGGCGAAGAGATCTTGATCCACAGACTACAGAACACGTCCGTTTGCTGCAGGAGTTCTTGATGAGGGAAATTGAAGATTCCATCAAAGCATACGATGACTACATCCAAAACGGCGTTGTTACTTGGGACCATCTCTGGATGATCTTCCAGCCCGGTTGTATTGCCGTCTTTGACAGAAGAGGCGAATGTTGTGCATTTGAGGTCGACAGAACTGAGTATAAAGAGGAGGATGATCAGAAATTTCTCAGGATTTCCTGCGACGGGGTCGATTGGAGCGGCACGCACTTTGGTCGTGTTGAGGAGCCTCATGACATTCATTACTTTCCGGGCACGAGGAATATTCACAACCTTCCTATCTACCCGCTAAAGTTTCATGAAGAAAGGAAAAAGGTTGAAAAGGAACTGACTGAGCGTGGAAAAGTTTTTGAGGAACTTGCTGGATACAAGTACAAAGGGTAAGTTCTACACGCAACTGTATATGAGTATCAACTCGCTAAACAGTCTCAGGTATAATGGGATTGCAATTACCTGGGATGATAGAGGCAAGGAGAAGAAAATGCAAATAGACGGACGAATCATTATAGACACGGACTCCTTCAACCGGTATAGCCCCTACCCAATTCGGCATGTCAAAAAATGGAAACCTAAAGACGTTGACAATCTCAATGGGTATCAATCACTGAATGGTGATGAGGTGGATGGCCATAACTCTGACGACCCACCCCGGGTGAAACTCTCACCACACTACCAAATGCTTTGTAGAAGTCGAGTCCGAGGCTACGCGCTCAAGGAGAAAGAATGGCTCGATTTCTTTGTGGAACGAATCGCTGAGATCAAATGGAATGCCAAGGCGTTTGAGAGCCTAGTACTGCCACCCGCACAAAAGGGGGTTATCCTCGCCCTATCTGAATCGCAGCTGGCAAACAAACAGGTCTTCGACGACATCATTCAAGGCAAAGGAAAGGGGATAACCATTCTGCTCTCGGGTCCTCCTGGTACCGGGAAGACCTTAACGGCGGAAGCAGTGGCCGAGAAAATGCGTGTACCGCTACACGCGATCAGTTTCGCGGATCTTGGTCCTCGTTATGTATGGCCTGAGAGGCAACTCCAAAAAATCCTAGAGCTGGTTAGTCGCTGGAAAGCTATTTTACTTCTGGATGAGTGTGATGTTTTCCTAGAGAAACGCTCAGCTGATGATCTCAACCGCAACTCCATCGTCACGGCATTCCTTCGCACTATTGAGTATTACGAAGGCCTCATGTTCATGACAACCAATCGCGCAGAAAACATTGATGAGGCCGTCAAATCCCGAATCCACCTTTCAATCAACTACCCTGACCTCGATGAGATATCGCGCCGGCAGATCTGGTCCAATTTACTGAAAGTCTCAACCCTACCCCATGAACTATCCGAGCAAGACCTTGACAAGCTAGCACAGGAGAGAGTGAATGGAAGACAGATAAAAAACAGGATGAAGATGGCACAGTTACTGGCGGCTGGGAAGAGAGAGCCGCTGAAACGAACTATTATTAATACTGTTATACAACTTGAAGAGCAGCGGCTGAATAGTACAGATGTCTCAGGCAAAGCAGCCACGTCTTCTGCAGAACTAGGGTCACAGACTCAGCCTATAGGGCCTAAGTCAAGCAGTGGAAATGAAGAAATTAGCGGAAAGGGTCAGAACGATTGTGAGATTGGCCAAGAACCAGCGAAGAAAAGGCGGCGAAGGCGTTGATTTGGATCTTATTAGTTTACCTTGATAGGATAAAAGCTTTATTTCTCTTCTACAAAAAATCTGACTTGGGATTATCTAGACCGGCAGCATGAGCTTCAGTGAGATCCCAGTCAAAGAGACACGCTTCCTCCACCCAGAACGAAATATTACCAACGCGAGTATCATCCCCGAAAGAAACGCCGGTTCTTTATTCTCCGTCTCTGAGTTCGTCAAGTTTCTCTTCAACTTGCTGTTGGATGAGAGGTGCCTCCAGTGTGTCAAATGAGTAGAGTAGAGTAGAGTAGTGGGTCCTACTTATACTCTACTCAGCAGTGTGGGCTCCGATAAATTATCGATCGAAATTATCGATTAGTAATCGTTATCGGCTAAGCGATCGATAAACGATCGATATCGATAATTATCGTCGATAAAAGTGGGCCAGCCATTAAGCGAGCCCCATTACATGAACATCTCGCTTTCTAGTTCAATTATAAACCGATTAGTATTAAGATTAGTATAAAAGTAGACTATTATTACTATACTATTAGACTTTTTAACTTTCCATTTAATAGTCTATTATATAACGTAGACTAGCTAGTATTTAATCCAGTTATCGATAATTCCATCGATAAAAGTGGGCCCAGCCAGCCATTAAGCGAGCCCATCGATAATTCCATCGATAAAAGTGGGCCCAGCCAGCCATTAAGCGAGCCCATCGATAATTCCATCGATAATAGTGGGTCCCAGGGCCTTGGCAATACTACAGGGCCACTACAGGGCCAATACGCTATATTTATAGGCCTTAGACCGCCTCTACAGTACTAAATCTATTAATAATAGTGGGTCCAGGGCCTTAGTAGTACTATAGGGCCACTACAGGGCTAATACGCTATATTTATAGGCCTTATACTGCCTTTATTAAATCGGAATTCTGCTATAGTAAAGAAAAGGTAGTATAAGGCCTATAAATATAGCGCATTGGCCCTGTAGTGGCCCTGTAGTATTACTAAGGCCTTAGTTCAATAATTATTATAATTAATAATTGATTATTAATTATCGAAAAATTAGTGCAATTATCTAATTATTGCTTATTGAGCTTATTAGAGCCCATACTACTACTTAGCCAAAATATATCCTACTTATATTCTACTTAATACTTATTAAGTATATACTTAAGTAATTTAAGTAATAAGTTATATATAAGTATATATCCGTATAAGAGAGCCCTTTAACTTAATTATTAGCTTTAAACTTACTTTAAAAGGCTATATTATATTTAAAAAGTAAGTAGAAGTTAAAATAAACCCTATATATTTCTTTTCTATTTAATTTATTATTTAAAAGTCACGTATATTAAATAATACGTAATTACTATATTAATTTTTACTAGTATAATAAGTAGTATTAAAGGAATTTTAAGTAGTAAAGAAGATAATAAAGATAGAGAAAAGTAATAAAGAAAAGAATTAAATTATATTTATAATATATATAATAGCGGAATTAATATAATAGTTAAAGGCTTAAAGTTTAAAGAATTTCATATATTAGAAATATTAAGCTATAAAATAAAGTAGAGAAAATATCTCGACCTTTAGTATTATTCTACCTAAGTAATTCCTGCTTAGCTTCATTTTATATCTATTTCCGATATCCTATTCTTAGTAGATTATATCCTTATACTAGCTATTATATTATTTCTTCCCTAAAGAAAAGAAAGAAGAAATAATAACTATTAATTCTATTTTATCTAATTCCGGCCGCTTACTTATAATTAGTATAAGAAATAAATAGAATAGAATAGAATAGTGGGCCCTATTTATATTATAATAGCTAGTATAAAGGCATAATCTACTAAGAACAGGATATTAGAAACAGGTATAAAATAAAGCTAAGCCGGAATTACTTGAATGAAATAATACTAAAGGCTAAGGCATTCTCTCTACTTTATTCTATAGCTTAGTATTTTCTAATATATAAGATTCTTTAAACTTTAAGCTTTTAACTATTATATTAATTCCGCTATTATATAATACTAAGCTTACTTAACTCGGCCTATAGAAGCAATATAATACTACTAGTAAAGAACTCGTATTTGTCTTTAAAAAGCAAAGATAGAATACTGCTTTTAATATTTAATAATCTCCTTAAACTATAAAGAACTAGAGAAATTAACTAGAAGTATAATATCCTCTATAATCTAATTAATCTCAGAGCCTGACCCTTAACTAGAGTAGATAGTATTCCTTTCCTAGTAATTAGTCTACTACTAATATAAAAGAAGAAAGATATTATTTTTTATAATCTGGTTAATCTCAGAGCCTAATTCTTAACTAGAGTAGATAATATTTCCTTAATACTAATAAGAATAAAAGAACCGGCCTCTTTTTCTAGTATAGGAAAAATTAGTAGTAGTTTACTAATTTAAAATAAGAAAAGATAATAGTCGGTTTTAGTTTACTAATTTAAAACTAGATAAGATAATAATTAATTATAGTTTACTAATATTAAATAAGAAGAACTTATTTAGTACTTATCTCTATAACTAATATTTCTTCTAAAGCTACTATAGATAGCCCGGGGCTAAGTATTACTATTATAGATATATTAGATAAGAGGCTCTAGTATAATGAAACGGAGAAGCCGGACTTTAATATTATAAACCTATATTACCGGAAAAGCTATTATAATACTATTTTAGAAGAAGATATTAAAGAATAGCTAGCTAACTTAGAACTCAAAATTAGTATAAATACTCCGAAAATAGATAAGGTCTAGCGGAAATTACTTATATAGGATAACCTTATTAATAAATATTATCTAGTAGCTAATAAATAAATAGAATATTACTAGAAATTTCATTTATATATTAATTAACTTATAAAAAAAGTTAATAAGCTAGAGGTAATTACTAGTTAACTTTATATAAGAAAAAGACTAATATAAGAAGAAATAATAAAATAGAAATCTAAATAGGCAAATATTTAGAAATACTATAGATTACTATTAGAAGAACTATTTAGGGACTAATACTAAGGCTCTCTTTTGCTTTTAGTCTATAGTAATTAACTATAGCTTATTAGAATTAAGAATTCTGCTCTATTTATAAATAAGAATAATTACTAGATTAATAATTAGATATTTAATATAAGAAATAAACTAATATAGAACTTTTCTAAATTTAATAATAAACTATTAAAAATTACTTATATAATATAACTAGTTACTAGAAATATCTATAACTTTATTTATAATTAACTAGAACCTGAATTAGTTAGATAGATTTTAACTATTAAATAGATCTTTAAGATCCTCTAGTAAGCTTATAGTAAAAGTAAAGAAATAAAGTACTAGGAAGTAAAAAAAATATACTAGTATCTAAAATAAAGAAATAAGCTATTTCTAGTATTCTAGGTAAAGTTTATTTATTTAATAATAAAACTAGAGAAGTTACTAGATAACTAATATAATAATTTAATAAATAAAATAAATCTCGAGCTACTTAAGAGCTTAGGTAATAAGAAGTTTAATATTTCTAGGGACTTTACTAAGTAGTATATAAAATAAGAGAATAGGCTTCTTTTAATTAAAAATTAGTAATTCTAGGAGAAATAACTAGTAGAAACTATTTGCTATTAAATATTACTTCGGGCTAGAAAGCCTATTAGAATTCAAGAAGCTATAGTAACCCTATATCTAATAAATTAATCTTAGTAGCCGGTATTTTTATAACTAAAAAAAAGTAATTTACCGAGAATTTAAAAAGAAATTAGACTAGCTAGAAAGTCTTTATTATTATAGTTATAGAAAGCCTAGATATATAAAAAGTACTTATTCTAATTTTAATAAGATTATATCTATTAAAGAGAATTATTTAGAGGAAGCTAATAATTCAGGAATAGATAATAAGGATACTAATTCCTATTTATTATCTAATAAGAAATATAATATTAATAAATCGGGAAAAGTCTAGCTCTAGATATAGAAATAAACTTTCTAAAGTAAGAACTTTACTAAGAACCTATAGATCTTACTTAGCTAATTAGCGGGAACTAGTTCCTTATTAATTATTAAATATACTAGAAAAGTAAAACTATAATTTTCTAGTATTTAGTAAATACTAAAACAAATATATATATTTTAATTAACTAAAAATATATTTGCCCCTTAATAAAAGTATTATAAATGCCTTTATATAAACTCAAAATCCCTATTTCCTTATAAGGTTTTAATAAATAACCTAGTAAAGCTATTTAATATCTAGCTACTATAGATCTAGCTATTAATTAGTATTTCTAAACTTAATAATACCTGCTTATTACTAATCTTAGCTCTTATAATATAATTCTGAGAAGAAAATAGCTAATAAAATATAATATTTTACTAGACTATTAATAGAATTAATTCTATTAGCTAGAGAACTATAAGATAAATTAGCCAGACCTTATTTAGAAAATCTGATATTTTAATAAGAAATATTAAAAAAATAACTATTTTAAAAATACTTTAACTAGAATCCTAAAAAGAACTAGTAAAACTAGACCCGAGAAGTAAAAGAATATATTTCTTATTTCTTTATAAGACCTTCTTATAAGGAAAGCCGAATACTAGATAAGAAAGGAAAAGCTAGACCTTAATATTCTCGAAATAGTTAAGCTACTAGACTATTTCTGCTATTTTATTAGAATAGCTACTTTCTAATTAAGTACTAAAGACCTTAGTAACTTAATTAGATTAGTTACTATTAATAAAATTAACTATATACTTGAGAAATAGAATTATAAACCAAAGAAATATCTATTATTATTTATAGTAATTAGATAACTAATATTATAGCCTACTAGATACTATATTCAAACTAGTAACCTAATATATTTCCTGGATATAAATAAACCTAATACTTTCGGTAATATACTATTTTTTAATTCTAAAAAACTTTAAAAGCTCCGAATATTTCTTCCTATATAATTATATAATATAGCTAAAATATTCTCTAAGAAAGTAGTAGATAAGCTTCTCTAGTT